TGGAATTTCTTCTTCAAATCAAAGTTCAAGCAACTTTGAGCGATTTTGACAAATTCTTGACTGTTTCAAGAAACCTTCTGCCTATTCGTTTGGCATTTGACGTAAATTCGCCAAATCGGCCAAGGTGACTTCAGATTCAGTCTTATAAAACTGAGTATGGAACAATTATTCCAATTGTTGCCATGTTTGAACAGAGTTGGCTGGCAAATTAATGAATCAAGAGAAAGCTAATCTTCTTAATGAACTAGGGAATATCCTAATTTTATGATAGCCAGTCACTTCACCGTTTTGCAGTGTGAACCGCCCTATATGTTCTAGAGTAGACACTTCTCCTAAACTAGTTAATAATAAAAATTCTGGCACTTTGTACCCTCTAGGACATGGATATGCTTAATCTACCCAATCCAGATATGGCTTTGTGTAAGTCAGCCTAATGACACGACGTACTCCAAAAGTCATTTGATCATGTACTATTTCTATGATTTGATTCCTCAATATGACGTTGAGATCATATGGAATTCCTACAGACTGGTTTACTGGCTGATTTGTTTGAGGCCTAATATTTGGTCATTGGTTGGCAACAAAATTGCTATTGTTTGGGCCATTATTACCGTTAGCCTGAGTATTTAATCCATCATTAATGCATGGGACATTCTGTCAATTATTCAGGACATGTCTCTTATATTTGGATTACCCCCCAGGTTTGTAATTTCATTACCACCATTCATGTTTGGCGTTCCATTACCCCACGGGTTTGAAGTAGACTGACCAAAGGGTGGTTCTAATCCTTGATTTAAGTTCAATTCAGGAGAATTATGTGGTGAATTATGCCCCCACGATCGTCCTGGTTTGAAAGTGGTTTGCAATAGGCATAACTGGCCCACACATTTGACCTATTAACTTTTCATTATTTCGTTTAACCTATTCAGTTGTTTGGCCATGTTGTCATAATGTGTATTCCCATTTTTGTTAAATCTTTCCATATTATGAACATTTCGTAGATTTACTTGTTCAACGACGTCCTGTGTGAGTTCCCCAAGCAATGCACGCATGGTTCGAGGACTCAACTCCGTTATTAGCTCGTAGAGACTTTGACTGCTTCAACTCTGTCCCTCTGTTCGTGGAGAGCTTTGCTGTTCCTCATATCGCTCGATCACAGACTGAACTACTCCATGACTTGCTGGTTCCTTATCAGAATTCTTATTAGGTATAATGTTTCACTTTTTTGTATCCTCAAACTCTAAACACCAATTGTCCGACTGATCGTGCCAAATTGTTTCGTGCAGGTTATCGCTAACAATTAAAAAGGAGATCAGACGATTGTGTAAGGAACAAACCACTTGAAACAAAGTCCCAAAAAATGGGTGTTTTATTGATGAATGTTACAATTGAAAATAAACAGAATGCCTCAAAGGGGCGCAAACACACGAGTACTAAAAAGAAGTGTTTTAAAGTTAAACTAAGAAATTGAATTTACATATTCTCTGTTGAGAGTGTTTGATTTTGGGTCTTTTCTTCTATGTCTTCTTTTCCTTTTTATACTTCCTTGATAGTTTTTTTGTGAAAAACTGCTTGATTATCTATAACTACCCACTTTCTTCATGATGGCTGACTTCTTATAGAATTGCCATCTCTAACTGTTGTCATTACTCTTGTCATTTAACTGCCTACAACCGGGATTCTTGGATCATAGGGTGTGATAAGGTTGCCCGCTTCAATAACTGCTGTATTGGATAATCATAACACCTTAGATTCGTTCAGTTCCTGGGCGACTCGAAGGTTTGGGCGAGAACGAGATCATCGCTCTGGGCGACCGTAAGACACTCCATTCGCTCAGATTCTGGGCGTTTTGCAAGCTTGAACGATGATGTTACTTTATTCGTGGGCCTCCACTGCATTCACTAATGGTCCTATTTGG